TTTTATTTTCATTTTCAATTTTACTTCAGAGCCACATGTACGTACCCAAAGAGCCGCAGTTTGCCGACCTCTGGTCTAGTACAACCAAAAAACACCAGATGAAGAAGTACCAGAAGAAAATACAGGAATAAATGTTTTAAATTTTGGAATAAGGAGAAACTATTTAAACATGGTGTGAAATCTAAAAGATTGAAAGATCTGATATCCTAAAAATTAAAAACATCTATACAACAAGTTACCAAGGACAAGACAAAACACAGACTAGAAATGTGTATTTACAATATGTACAAAAGATTGATATCTTTACTACACAGACATAACTCCTACAATTTTTTTAACTCTGTAATAGGAAAACTGGGCAAAAGATATTAACAACAATTCACAGAACGAATATAAATATCTAATAATTATATAATAATAAGCTTAGTCAAGTGAAAAATCAGAGACACAGATTAAAACAAAATATCATCAGGGCGGCCGGTTAGCTCAGTTGGTTAGAGTGCAGTGCTCATAACACCAAGGTTGCTGGTTCGATCCCCACATGGGCCACTGAGCTGCACCCTCCACAACTAGAATGAAATCAACTACCTGACTTGGAGCTAATGGGTCCTTTAAAAAAATTTTAATAAACAAACAAAACACAAAATATCATGTTTTTGTCTATCAGATTAGGAAAGATAAACACTGATAACATCTAGGGCCAGCTGGGTGGCTCAGCTGGTGAGAGTGCATGCTCTTAACAACATGGTTGCCGGTTCGACTCCCGCATGGGATGGTGGGCTGCGCCCCCCTCAACTAAACTGAAAACAGCAACTGGACTTGGAGCTAAGCTGTGCCCTCCACAACTAAGATTGAAGGACAACAACTTGACTTGGAGCTGATGGGTACTGGAAAAACACAATGTCCCCTTTCCCCAATTCCCCAACAAAATCTTTAAAAGAAAAAAAAGACTGATAACATCTAATTTGATAAGGATGCACTTTCAAATACCATTAGTGAGAATAGTTACAGTATTTCAGAAGGGCAATTTAGTATCAATTTTTAAGTGGTGGACCCTTTGACCTAGCATCTTCTCTCTCAGAATTTCATCCTACAAAAACATTTCCACAGATGTTCACCCTTAGGTGAGATAAAGCAGTTGATAGCAGATAAGTATTAATACTTAAAACAATTTTAAAAATTAATTGAAGGCAGAGTAGAGCTGCTAAGGCAATGACAAATGGAAGGGTTTAGACTCTA